TACGTACGTAAAAATAAATGAATTATTGAAAATGTTGTCTTGAATTTTATAATCAGAAATATCCCATAACTTTATATAATTCCATGATCATAGTTATATGTTTTAATCTCTTCCTATACATGGAAAGCTCTATTATTGTATTAATTTTATTTTTCTATCTGATTCAATCTATGGATTTAATTTCAATATCATACTTTAATTATTCATCTTTAATGAATTCTTATATTATCTAATTAAAGTATATAATCCTACCTTCTTTCTTTCATACTTTTACAAATCAGTATAGTTATTTTATAAATTAACAAATTTCATATATATATATATACAATACATAAATTATATAAATGTATTAGTAGGCGGATTACGTTTGACTGACTTGACAACGCAACGTGTGCATTGCAACAAGTTCTTGAGAATATATTGGAAGAGAGGAAACGTTGGGAGAGGGGAAACGTTGAAGCCACGAGTGTGAAAAACGAAGAAAAAAGAAAGAGAGAGAGAGAGAACACGTTCGTGTGCATGCTTTACATATATATATTTTCCTACTAATATGTATATATCTTCCTTTTTTGTTATATATATATATATGTATATATATATAAATAAATATAGAGTGCATGCGCACGAGTACCGTTGCCACCGTTCGTTGAAAAGGGACGAAGAAATTACGTTGTGGCGCAGCTTATGCGCCCTCGGGGCACCATTATATGGTAATCTCTGTATCTCCTTCTTTCCCTCTCTCCCTCCCTTTCCCTCTCTCGCTCTCTTTATCATTTGGTCTTTCTCTTTTCTAACATAGCTCTAGAGTTTCTATCTCTTTCTCTTACACGACTCCGGTAAAACATGTTACGGCGTTTCTCCTTTTTCCACCGTTCCCTCTGTCAGAAGTTACAACCCCACCCTATTCCTACTCTATGTCTCTCTCTCTTTCTCTTTCTCTGTCTTCGTCCCTTTCTCCCTTTATAGTTTGTTTTCCATTTACCACTAGGTAATTGCACACGTTCATTCTCTCTATCTATCTTTTTCATCTATTTCTTCTTTCCTTACCTCGAAACACATTCAAAGTTCTTTTGTATCTATTTTAACGTCGCCATTTCTATTCGTTTCCTGGTTATTTTTATTCATTTTTCAATGAACAGATCGACTACCTCTACCTAAACCCCTTGTCATTTCACAACTTTTCCTATCGAAATCTATTCGATTTAACGTACGTGCTCTCGCGTATTGTAGTTTCATTTGACCAAGGGTCCAGGTCAATTTTGGTAAGAAAGAAGAAGCCAAAGGTTCGTTCCTCTGATTTCTTTACAAATTTTCAACGTTTATTTTTTTTTCTTTCTATAATACCCCTATATATATATATATATATATAGGATTTTTTTTTTCTAAATAAAATTTTTAATTCTATCGGTTTCTTCTCGATTATAAACTAACTACCCCACTTCCTCCTACTGCTACTCTTACTCCTAGATCTTTTTTCTTATTGAAACTCTCGCAAACAAGAAAGGTTAACGTCCCCGGTGATACTCGCGGATGACGAAGTCCATGGAAATCGGATCGCACGAAAGGGGGTGGCTTGTTTTGCTCTCGCAGCTTCGACGAGACGGAAACTTGCCGGATTCTATAATGGGTAAAGCGATACGCGGTCTCGTTTATGGGTAAAGACTGCCGGACGAAGAGAGAATGACAGAAGAGGGTGAACTATATGAAAGAGAGAGAGAGATAAAATTTGTCTCTGTGTGTATGCATGTGTGTGTGTGTGACAGTGAGAATGAGAGTGAGAAAGAGAGAGAGAGAGAATAGCGTGTATGGCTGGTGCCCTCTCGGTAATTTAAACGACGAGCTCGTATGCACGGTTCCGATGAGTTATGGGGTGTTAAAGCATAGGTGACTTAACTGGGCGTTGTGCGCGAGAGTAACTCGTGAATCCTTCGATCTTCGCCTCACCGCTAAGGTATTACGGTGCTTTGCACGATTTGTAAACGTCGAGTCCGTTAAAACGGCACGTTAAACGTGATTTAGAGATGGCCTTTTTCTATTATCTCTTCTTTCATATCTCCTCTCCTCTTGACTACTAAACAAAATCGTTCCTAACATTTTTTACTTACTTAACTTACTTACTTAACTTATTATTTAATTTTTCTTTTCAACAGAAATTTGTTATTTATTTGACTGACAAATTTTCTACCGAAATATAATGAACATTGTGTTTAATAAAAAATTATTAAATTATTAAAAAAAGAAAAGTAAAACATTTTTTGGTATTATCTAATGTTTCGTGATAAAAAATGAGACAAACTCGTACACGCGATCAAGAGATAGAGAGAGAAAAAAAGAAATGCACTCGCATAAAAGAAGAAGAAGCAAAAGAAGAAGATGAAGAAGAAGATGAAGTAGAAGGGGTCCCGTTTAAAGGCTGCTCAATCGGCTGAATTGGCGGCTCAATGTGGCGCGTGCTACCAACACACGCTTCCTTCGTTCAACTGAGTGTACTTTAGCTGCTGGGCTCTTTTATTATATTATGTATTATTATCTACTTATCGAGCTATTGTCCGGATTGACTCCATTGCATTCGATCTCGGCGTACATTATTTCTCTTTCTTTCTCTTACTAATTCTCGTTGTTCATAGACGTAGATGATATTAACTCTCGGAAGATTATATTCCCCTTTTAAAAGTAAGGAAAAAAGAACATTGACTATCCCGATTAATTAATTGAATTTTTTTGGATTTCAAAGTAAGAAAAAGAGAGAGAGAGAGAGAGAGTATTTTACCCTTTGACTATTATGGACGCATATATGCGTTTGTCAATATTTGCGTATTGATTTTTTCGTTTTGAATCTTGTCACATAAAAATGATATTAAAAGAAACCAAAAAAACTTTAGTATTATTAAATATAATTTATTATTAGAATCTGATTAAAATAATATATCAGGAAACAGTAATACTAATAATAAACTATTCTGTATCTAAAAAAAAACACTTCAACTAAAAGTATTCACCAATCAAAGGGTTAAATCAAACGAGGAAAAAAGTAAATCTATCTCAGGTAATATTAATTTTCATAATATTTCTGACCGCGATCCCCTCTTAAATAAATTCTTTTCTATTATTTTCTTTTATTTTCTTTGGTACTATCGTTTAATATCTTTTCGCCACGAGCTATTATCTATTATCCACTTAACCGTGGCTCGGGCAAGCCACGGGACTCTTAGTCCGATCTGATAGCAAAGGCGTATATACACCATATTATACTCCGCCTTCTCTTGAACACGCCATAAATGTTCTTAGCGAGAAATCCAGCAATAACGAGCAGCCACAACACAACAATGACGACTACAACAACGATGACGATGACGATGATGACGATGACGACGATGATGATGGTGGTAGTATTGGACTGTGGTAACAAAAAGGAAAGTGGGGGAAGGATTGCTAACAATAGTTCAAAAACCTAGATAGAAAAGTAAAACCAATAGAGAGAACCCAGGTCCCATTTACCAAGTTTTACTGCACCACGCCGGGATTTCTTATCTCCAACCGCGTTACGTTGCGTAAACGTTCATTGTGTTGTTGGATGTTAGCCCCGTTAACTCGGTTGAAATAATGCGGCGTACCACTCTCTTTCTATGTGTGTGTGTGTGTGGGTTCTACATTTGCCGAAGAAAGATAGATTGTGATTGAGAGAAAGAGAGAAAGAGACTAAAGAACAAAATTTCGTCGAATTTTTACGATTATCGTTTGAACCGTTGTTTGTGTGTTTCCCAACTATTAGTTCGCGTAGTCAAACTGCATTTTCGCTTGTAAGAGCCGCTCAATTTAGCGCGTAAATTGTCAGTAAGGGAAAATAGTACACGTAACTAAAACTACTACTACACCGAACGGTTTTATAAACCGCGCGTGTTCCACGTTTTCTTTACCACGAAGTAGTACGAATCTTCTTATAGTTGTGGATGAACGTTTTACGATCGTTTTACACGACGCCGAATTACACTTTGAATCAATTTGATTAAAAATAAAAATCGATGTTAACTAATTCCTCTTTGTTATTTACATGTATCTAATATAATACAAAACTCAACATTTTTCTCGAGAAATATAACATTTATCAATAAAGTTACCATTTCACACCGTTGTATATAGTCCAAATAAATACTGAATATTCCATCGTATTTCAAGTATGTCGTATTTTTTCGCGTGTGACACGCGACAACAGGCGGTGTCAATATGCATTTACTAAGCCTTATGCAGTCGGTTGCATTACAACAACAAAAAAAACAACATTTCTATCTTAATAAGTCGATGAATTTCGATCCCCCTTTTCTACATCTCTCTTCTCTCTCTTTTTTTTTTTTTCATTCCGATTTCTAGCCCGATCAATAAGAGGCAAACTAGAATTTTTTTCGGATGCCAAATTAATTCTCTACAACTTTTGTTAGAAATTTTTTTTCGATTAAATACCTAGATTCTAAGATACGCCCATTTTTTATTCTTTTTAATCCTTTTCTCTTGGAAATATGCTATCCACTTGCAAAAAAATGTTAGCACAATTCAATTAAGCGTCGTCGCGATAATATCAAGATTGTTCCTTAGCAACCAGAAAAAGTTCTAGTTTGTCTTTTAATGACTGGCTTATAATTAACGTGCCAATGAAATAGAAAGAGGGGACAATGAAGGAGTCGGATTAATTCGTCGGCTTTCGTCCCAGCCATCTCTCTCATCGTACACTTGCTAACATTTTCCTTCTCTCTCTCTCTCTCTCTCTCTCTCTCTCTCTTTCTCTCTTCTTTCTTTCTCTCTCTCTCTCTCTCTCTTTCTCTCTTCTTTCTCTCTCTCTCTCTCTCTCTCTCTTTCTCTCTTCTTTCTCTCTCACTGTTTCGTACAATCTCATCGTATTTCCAGGTTCACGTGCGAGTAGAAACGCGCGACGCGAAGAATGCGCGCTCATTGTGAGTAGGTGGAAGAAGGGTATGGGGGGAGGGTAAGGGGGATTGGATAGGAGGATAAGGAGGTTGGAAGAGGAGAAGAACCTAGGGCTTCCTTCCACAACGTAATATGTCGCATAACGCGCCGTAATACTACACCAGACGACGACGAAGAAGAAGAAGAAGAAGAAGAAGAAGAGTGCCAGGTTGTAACCCAATAGGAGCCGTGTTGGGCACACTTGTGGCATGCGCCAACCCAGACCAGCTTCACTACTCTTTCCCCTTACCTCTTGCTTCTACTACTCTTCTCTCTCTCTCTCTCTCTTTCTTTCTCTTTCTTTCGATCCACAAGCGTTCCCGAGTTCTCTGCTCGAGCGCGCGTCACGCTCGACGAATAAATATACGATCTAATTTCTTTGATTGTATCAACGGTATACAACGGTCGAATATCTACGACGAAAATTCTAAAAATAATTCCACGGATAGAGAGAGAGAGAGAGAGAGAGAGAGAGAGAGAGGAGAAGGAGATAAAGTTTCTTTCTATCTTTTTCTTCATGGGTTGTTTTTTTTTTTTTTTTTTATGTGGAAGTTAACAACGTTAGTTATACCTTTTTCTTTTTTTTTTTGTTTCCTAAAAGATATCTTTCGAATTTATTAAATCCGATAACATTGACGCGTTACTGAGTCTGATCGTAAGAGATTGAAATTATTCTGATATATTTATGTATCTAATTGCGATCAATTGCATCGAATAATAATCATTGATCAAAAGTAATTATAATTTCAACGATTATACATGGAACGAACGAAGAATAAATTGATGTATTTATATTTGAACATAGTGATATTACTTCATTCTAGATTATTCATTTGAATATTTTAAACTATGAAAACACATACGATATCCCTAGTTGTTTCAGATAATTGTCAAATGATGAAAATAGGAAATTGTTCTCTTGTAGATCCATCCTTGGCATCAAAAATAAGAATCATCATCTCGGGTGGACGCGTGGCAAACTTCCTCTTAGCACGTGACGACTGGTAAAGTAAGTAAGTAAGTAAGTAAGTAAGTAAGTAAGTAAGTGGCTGGTCTTAAGTCAAAGTCCCGCGAGCACAGGTGTGCGAACGTAATCGCGATGTCACGGCCGAGTCATGGCCGAATCATGACCCCCCTCCCCCCGTCCTCACCCCCATCACCCTTTACAACCTCTCTCTTTGCTCTCCCTTCTTTCGATCATCTTTTTTTTCCCTCTTTCTTTTTTCCTTCCTCACTCTCTCTCACTCTTTCCCTCTCCTATCGTCAATCTCTCCTACCATCAAACACAACGAACCCGTTTACGTAAAGAACCTTGGGACCTTTCTTACTGCCACCGTAATATCTTGTTTTATCTGCCCACTTTCTGAAAGTTGTTCATTACTTTCTTGTTGACCTGAAGGCAGCCAACATCCAACTATAACTTCTTTCTCTACCTATTTCTATCTTCGTCGTTGAACTTGACCGATCGTGATGGAAGAAGAAGAAGCCTCTGATCACGTTACTTTAAGAACCCTTTAATGTCTATTATTTACAACAACAATAAAAAGAAAAAAAAGAAACGAAGAAAATAGAAAATATTGGTAATGATATTACGAGTTTTGTTACATCCTAATACTTTTGTCATTTTTATTTCAACGAAATTCAAATTTAAAATTAAAAGAAAATCTAAGATATTAGATTAAAATAACAAATATATTCATATTGCAACTGAAATTGCACACACACATATTACTTGATTTCGTAGAATATACAATAGAATGCTAATCCTTTTTACAAAAAAAAAACAAAAATACTCAAATTAGATGGATCGAAATAAAGTTCTTCCAACATACGTGATGAGAAACGATTTGATATGGACAAAAAACAAACAAACAGAATAATAATAAACAACATTACATTGTACGAACTGAAAAAATTGCATAATACAAATTTATATAAGATTTCAAAGAGTATCCAATAGGATAATAATCTTTTTAAGAAGAGAGAAAATCTACAAATTGGATAGATCGAAAGAAACGGTCGACAACGTTGTTGTACACGCGTGATGAGAAACGATTTGATATTATAAAAAAAAAAACAAAAAGTAAAAAAAAAAACAAAGTAAAGTAAAGTAAAGAAAATAATGAGAAAAATGTAGAAATAAGACGAGTTAGATAAATAAAGTGTGGTCCGATGATGCGGCAGAAGTAAGCAAGGAAGCAGCCAGTGGCAGTCGTACCGGAGACGGTAGTGGCTACCGGAGACTCCTCTCCTTCAGGGGTGGATGACTTCGGGGTCGGGCTTGCTTGGTAGGTCTCTCGACGTGCAGCTACTGTTCACCACATGGCCTTCCACCTCTTTCTCTTTCTCTTACATACATACATACACACACCCATATACACACATACTCTCTCTCTTTCCTTTTCTCTTTCATGGTACCCGAGAGTCCGCAATTATTGCCAACATTCTGAACTGACGTGACGTGACGTGACTCTTTCTCTTTCTCTCTCATTCTCTCTGTGTTATTCACTCACTCTCTCGGCCCATGTGCGAGGTCAGCCTTTGGGGTTAGGTGAAATTACGGGCGACGGCAGGCGCCGTGCCGAGGAACGAGTTACGTGTACGCGTGCCGTAGCTTCTTTAACATGTTCCATCTCTTTCTCTAAGATATCTTACAACTTCACGTAAACGTGTCAGAAAGAGATAAAGATAATAAGAAATATGAGAGAAGAATAATGTAAGTTTGATAATTAATTTGTTAAATCATACATTTATCTAATATAATAATGCATCGTTCTCTAATATACGATTACATATAAATTGTGTCAATTTAAAAAAAGAGATTGTAAAAATAAAACAAAAATTTCGAATTAAAAATAAAATCGTAGGGAAAAGAAAAATATCAATTTCTTCGGAAAACAAAACAAAAACAAAAAGTAGTGATAATCGAAAATAAGTTATAGTTATAAAAAGGACAACACAGTGTTGTTGGTCGATGGAGAATGGTAGATAGATAGGTAGGTAGGTAGGTAGGTAGGTAGGTAGATAGGTAGGTGCACGCGTGCACGTTCTGGGCGGAGTAGGAGAACGATCCCTAGGGCCAGGAGTCATCGAGTGACACACGCACGACCGCCACGCTTCGTGGTCACGGTCAAAGCGCACGCGGAACACCACCAAGAGATCCAACAAGAGAAAAAGAGAGAGAGAGAGAGAGAGAGACACGGTTCGATTGCTCTTGTAAACGGAGTGCCTCCTGCTTTCAGTGAGATAGAGAGAGATAGAGAGAGAGAATAAAAGAGTGAGTACACCACCGGACCTCGAAGATCCAGCCACGAGGTTCTTCGGTTTCCAACATGATCGTCGAGATCGAATTCGATTATCCTGCTACGGAGAACAAGGGATCGCGATATACGGTTACATTCGTGAGGAACGATAAACGCGAATCTCGCGAGTAGTTGTGGAAATAGTAATAGTAGTAGTAGTAGTAGTAGTAGTAGTTGAAAGAAAATTAACTATGATCGTATATAAGTATATCAACGGGTTAAGCTCTTTGTTTTCTATTTAAGTTATACTCGAATAATTAATTCGACCAATGGAATACTCCTGTGTCACAATTCTACGAACAAAATGATTATTCCAACGACGAGTATTACAGGTAATCCACCTACAACGCGATATCCTATATTATGAAAATCTTGATAAAGCATTGTATTTCTAAAACACTGGATATGAAATGTACAAAAATTCAATTACCTTCTCAAATAATGACGCGAAGAGGAATAATGAACTATGAATCTCACATAACACGGTTTAACATTTTTCTAGAAACCTATCCACCGTGTTATATTTTTAAAAAAATTTGAAGAAATCGATACTCGTTATTTGACCTTTTACCCCGAACTAATGATCGATCTAATGCGATTATAATTAAGAATATTTTTCGAGATACAGGGTGAAGGAGGAAAATGAGAGTCGTTTACCTTTGGCGCCCTATTCGAAGGATTTTCTTAAAGCCGACTTATAGCTCATCTCTCTATAACTTTTTTTTTCTTCTTTATTCTTTCTCTCTCTCTCTATCTATCTATCTATCTATCTATCTATCTTTCTCTCTCTATTAAACCATAAACGAGCGTAGACGTTAAGGATGATCTCGTTACCAGACATCGTAACGTGATACGCAGCACGATCTAAAAGCAAGCTTCTGTCCTTTCTCTTGTAGGTTACTACCTAACTATACTATTCGGTGTAAAACGGTAGCGCGGAGATTCCGTGTCTCTCAGTCGTTTTAAACGACTAATGTTATCTCTCTCTCTCTCTCTCTCTCTCTCTCTCTCTCTCTCTCTTTCTCTCTCTCTCTCTCTCTTTCTCTCTCTCTGTTTCTTTCTCGTAATGCTCGTACCTTAATGAATATTACGAGACAAGATATTACAAGTTGTCTCCCGATGACTCGAGTTACGATCAGACGAGCCCAGTAATGTCGGATAATTACGAAGGAGGGATAGGCTGAGATAGGAGATGTCATCGTGGGCTCCATTAGGCTACCAGGTAGGCACGTTCTCTTTCTCTATCCTTCTTATTCTCTTCTATTTTTCTTTTACAATCCTGAATGCTACTACTTCGAGCAAGAGCATAGAATGAGAGAAAGAAAGAGAGAGAGAGTGAGTGAGAGAGAAAGAGAGTTTAATCTTTTCTGCGATGGCCGCAGCTTCCCTTTAATTAGGCTTTGCTCTCCGTAACAGCAAAGAAAAGGAGCCCCACCTGGGTAAACCTTCTTCTTTTCCAACCAAGTAGCACCCATCGTATTTCAAAGACAAGACGAAAGGTTATTCCACTTTCGCGAATACCAAGTTTGCAACGCTACTTAGCGGCAAGGCTTGTTTTAACTAACAAACATTAATTAAAGTATAAGTTTAAAAAGAAAAAAACATGATAGAGAGAGAGAGAGAGAGAGAGAGAGAGAGAGAGATTATGGGAGAATAATCCTACGTTCTTTGATACTATTTGAATTTTCTTTTTATTTCTATTTAATATGATTTTTTCATTTTTTTTTTTGTAATATCGTTCGTTTTATATGTAGAATGTGATTTATATTATTATCTTTGTTTTTTTTTTTTTTAATTACGACATTTTAACTAGTAATTCTCGATTAACATTTCAAGATTTAGATACAATTGGTTAATCGTCGGATTTTTTGTTTGGATAAATAACCGAGTATCTCGTCGTTGGGGTCATTCACATTTAAAATGGATACTGGTCATACCGACAAAAAAAAAAAAAAGAAAATAAAAGAAGAGAGAGAAGAGAGGAGCCTTCCGGTGAAATGATCACCGACATTATCAAAATTAAGTTTAAAACGGCGTAACGCGCTAGTGTGTGTGTGTGTGTGTGTGTGTGCATATGCGGCGCGTATGCAAGAAGAAAATTGATAGCACGTCTTGCTCGAGTATATATCGAAGGATGGTAGTTCCTGTGCGAGTGCTATTAACGAGCAATCATGTTTATATATATATGTGTAATATCTTGGTAAAATTATCAGTCTTTTTCAAGGAAGGGTTGGAGGTGGGATGATGGGGGTGGGATAAATTCGCGACGCGTTTATTATATGTCCAGGACATTCACCTTACTTATGAATCACAATGTATTCATTTTGATCGCATGTTTGCGAAACGCTGAATACCAGAGCTTCGAAAAAGGGAAGGGAACGCGCGGATACAGCCCATACACGCCCATCACCTTTGTTAGACCCTTTTTCAATCCTTTCATCGACCCTTTTTTAAAAGAAACGAAACCAGAACAAAGAACATTGCTATCTTCAAAGGCACCGGAGATACTTTGAACATTTGTCTCTCTCTCTCTCTATCTTTCTGTTTCTCTTTCTCTTTCTTCCCTCTCTTTTACTCTTCTTTTAGATACTTCTTCAATGAAATACAAAAAATCTACATTTTATTCCCTTGTCATAGAATGAAATAAGGGGGAAAAAAAGAGGGCTTGAGATTAAGTACAAATAAAAAAAGGATTTGGTTAGATTTAAACAATTTTCTGTCATCAAACACACACAAAGATTTTTTAAGATCTATTATAAACGTCATAAAAATGATATTAAAAAAATTAACTTATTCAAAATACCAAAGTAAAAAAGATGAATAAATTAATGTGTCTGGCATTAACATATGACAAAAGTTAAACACACATACCAAAATCTCGGTATATCCATTAAAAGTAGAATAATAAAAAGTCCATATGTTTAAAAATGATACAATATCCATTAATATCCCTGGGATATCCTACAATTTCGCATAGGAGTTTTATTAGAAGAAAATTATCAATAAAAGAATTTTAAATAACAATGTATATGTCATATTCAGTTTTTGTGTGTGCCTTCAGAAATGCTTGTATACATATATATTTAAAAAAATAGCCATTATAAAAAAACAAGTAGAAGAAAATCAGAACGAGCAGATGATAAATCCAACGATGATCACCTGTAACARAAAGAAAAATCTATTAATCAAACAGTCAATAAATAAACACAGGCCTAAAATACAAGTCGCCAAATTAGCAGATGCACTTTTCAATTGAGAATTCTTTATTTATTTGTATCAAGTCTCT